CTACGGTAGGGAGACCACAGGTGCGTACTCGCATGTGCGGGTGAAGGAGCGCAGAATCGGGAGTGGAGGAGATGGCCAGGGGTCGCTGGTGTGAGGGAATTTCCGCATCTGCGAGCCCGCATATGCGCTTAAACCTCCGCAGATGCGNGACCCAGTGCCTTAAGTCATTTCCGCACCTGTGAGAGAAATTCCGCAGGTGCGATAGTATGTCCGCAGATGCGGAAGAACTGGGCAGAAAATGGAATTTCCAGAGTTTGATTCCCATTTCGATTTTGGGACTTTGAGAGCTCAGTATGAGGCGAGTTTTCGAGGTGTCTTCGATAAGATTGTTGGGGTAAGTGATTCTAACTCGGATTGGACTATATTTCATGAATCTATTACTGTTTTCATCATCTAATTAGGGATTTGAATATTAAATTTGGGGGAAAATGGTAGAAACTTCATAGGCTAAAATTTTGAGTTTTGGAAGGTGATTTGAGGTTGGATTCGAGTAATTTTTATATGATCGGACTCGTGAGTGGATGGGTGTTCATATTTTGTGAATTTTGTCGGATTTTGAGACGTGGGCCCGGGGGGCGGGTTGAACCTATTTCAGATTTTGGCTTATAATTTCATATTTTTCTTGTGAAATTGATTCTTTTAGCCTATATTAATTATATTGTACTGCTTGTGGCTAGATTCGGGGCATTTGGAGATTGATTCGAGGGGTAAAGGTATTGCGGAGTAGGATTTTGCGCGGTTTGAGATAAGTAACAGTTTTAAATCGGGTCCTGAGGGTATGAAACCCCTGATTATTGGATTATGTGGGTATTTTGGAGGTGACGCACATGCTAAGTGACGGGCGTGTGGGCGTGCACCGTGGGAATTGGGACTTGGTCAATTCCGTAAAAATATAAAATTGAATAACTTGTTGCTAGCTATATGCTCTCCATGTGTTATAGAAATTTGATTGCAAATCATGTTAGAAATCATGCTTAGGCTATGTGATGATACTGTTAGGGGCCGCAGAGGTCGCGTACTTGTTGAATTAATTGCTAATTATTGTCTTGTACTGAGTCATGGTTTTACTTGCGTATCATATCTCAGTCTCTTCTTGATTCTTGTTGATACATTATGTTATCTTTGTTTGGGCAGATCTTTGTGATTTCCGAGAGCCCGAGAGACTAAAGAGGTTGATGACTGAGTGATGCCGAGGGCCTGTCTGTGAGGTATTGATGTTATGGCACGTGAGTTGTCCGTGGGTTCCACATATTGATACTGTAGCACGTGAGTTGTCCGTGCGAATATATCGCTTGGGCTGAAAGGAGCCCCCCGGATTCTGCACACCCCCGGTGAGCGCAGGTACCTATTGAGTGTGAGTACTGAGGGCTGAAAGTCGAGTGATTTGAGCTGTTGTGACGAGTTAAGTGACTGCTGCCCTGAGAGGCTGTACTTGCCTTTTCATTTGTTGATGCACTTAGTTGCTATCTGTCGTTGTTGTAAAATTCCTAAAAGATTTTATATCTGAATTACCTGAACTTTAAATGTATAAAACTGATTGGACTTAAACTGCCAGATGCGAAAACATGTCTATTCTTTGCTGGAATTATTGAAAATGAACTGTAATTGTATAGCTCGTCACTGCTTCTTAGTTCCGTATTTATTTCTGTTACTTGCTGAGTTGGTTGTGCTCATGCTACACCCTGCACTTCATGTGCAGATCCAGATGTGTTTGATCACGGAGGTCGTTGAGTTCGTGCGCAATCGAGTACCGGAGACTACGAGGTAGCTGCCGGCGTCCGCAGACCTTGTCTCTCCTTCTATGTTTTCTTTCTTTCCTGTATTGATACTTAGACACTATTTTTATTAGACTGGATATCTAGATGCTCATGACTTGGTGACACCCCGATGTTTGGGGCTATCTTTCCGCATTTTATTTTGAATTCAACTTTCCGGTTTTTTTTTTTTTGTAAAAATTTCTAGTATGAAAAAGCTTTGAATTATGCTTTTTATGAAATATTGAAGTATTTTGAAAGGTCGGTTTGCCTAGTACCATCGATAGGCGCTATCACAACAGGTTAGAGTTTTGTGTCGTGACAAACTTTTACGTGCTCACGTAAGATAACGTGATTATACACTAGTCATGCTAAATTTTCGTGGTCATTTCCAATTTTCATCTTTAATGACTCCTGGACACTAGATTGATGTGTGAGTCTTCAGTTACTCAAGAAGGCAAGATGGAGAGGACCAAATTAACTATATTAAGAAGAGTCTGATTTAGTAGGAATACATGAATTCATATATATTTCATAGTATCCAACGGGTTTCCTTTTTAATCGGATTGGTCAAGTTTCTTTAAAGGTCAAAAGTGCTTTTTTTTTTTTAAAGTATTTTTTTTTCATAACTTAAGGTGTTTGGTCAAGTTTTTTTTTAGGCAAAAAAGTGCTTTTGGGAAGAAACAGAAACACTTTCTGAGAAACAGAAAAAAATAGATTCTTCCTAAAAGCAGAAGCAGAAGCAGTTTTGACTTTTTTTCTTATCAAAAATACCCTTAACAAAATATATTATATATCAAAATAACCTTATTTTAAACCTAATACTTAGGATATTAATGCATAAGTATATCTTCTTATTTTTAGGATATCTTTCTAATATATAGTGACTTTAGGGGTGAATATTTTTATATTTGTTGAACGACTTTTAATATACTTAAATCATATTAAAAGAATTAAAGTACTTTTATATTTTATTTTTATATTTTATTTAAATAAAATAAAAAGATTTAATTATTATCTTTAATAATAAATTTTTGAGATTATTTATTTACTTATAATATTAACTATTAAGTAAATCTATCATGTCCTTATTCGTAATTTTATACTTAAAAGCACTTATTTAAAAGCTTGGGCAAACACAAATTATTACTCAAAAGTGTTTTTCAGAATGATTAGTCAAACACAAATTGCTTCTCTCCAAAAATATTTTTTCCAAAAGCACTTTTAAAAAAAAAGCACTTCTCAAAATAAGCTGATTTTTCCATCTCGGTCAAACAGACTATTAGAAACGGAAGAGCAACCTGTCATCTAATAACCTCAATGCCTTCTATTAATTTGAGTTGAATGCTATAAGACATTTTAAAATTATCCAAAACAGAAACTCCCTCCATTTTATATGATATTGCCTTTTTATATTCGAAATCCCTTAATCTTAATAGTCTCATATTCTTATTTGCACCTTAATAACATGCCTTTAGGTGAATTGGCATAACATATTGAAGGTCATATTAGATCCCAATGGTGTTTTTGTCATCCACCCTCATATTGTCTGGTGTTCTGACCTTAGGCGCCAATATATTATGAATGTAGAGCTAGTAGTTAATAACATCTTTCCTTTTGAAATAAATAATATAAGTAGTAGTGAGGTTAGCAAAGGTGGTCCGAGATTTAAACTTTATGGACTATGAGATTAACTTTTAAGATTTTTAATATTAGACCCGTTATATTTTTAAAATTATGATTTCATATTTATTATTTTTATTATTTTAATAAATTTTTATATTTTGTATTAAAAATTATGAATTCAATTGAACTATCACTAGAACACTACATCCCCTCGGAGGTCAGGCCAACATGTCCAATTTTGTAAGAGCTCCACAGTGCGGGCATTTGGGCCAGGGGCCTTCCATTTCTTCATATGGAAAAGAGCCTTTTGCTGGAATTTTAGAGCCTGACCCCGAGGTGGTCTAAAGTTCCAAATTGAAGCATGTTTCGGATGTTGAGTTGTTTTCTGATTCTGAAGTTCAGTTCGATTGGGAAGTATACTAGTGTAGGATAAAACTCTAGTAGTAATGCTGATTGCAAGTTCAATAAATATATGAATTTGAATTAAGAAGGATTGAGTTTTTGTCACCCTCTTGAAAAGATCATTTAATTACGGCATTAGACCAAGGTAATTTGGGAGATCAGGATGTTCCATTACTAGATAAGGTGAGTTGCTCTTATGGTAAGCGCCCTCCACTTCCAACGAAGAGGTTGTGAGTTCGAGTCACCCCAAGAGCAATGTGAGAGTTCTTGGAGGGAAGAATGCCGAGTTTCTATTGGAAACAGCTTCTCTATCCCAGGGTAGGGGTAAGGTCTGCATACACATTACCCTCCCCAGACCCCACTAGTGAAATTATACCGAGTTGTTGTTGTTGTTTTAGGATGTTCCATTACTAGATGGTACTGGAACACTGAACCAAAATGATATTTATTTTATTCGTCACCCCAGCATTTCATAAATATTACTTTCAAGAGAAACGAAGAGGACCGAAACACACTGTAAAGTGTTTACATCATATCGTAATTTGAGAATCCTTGCCGTCCTTTAATTATAAAATAGAAGGAACAATACCGTGTTCTAACTTAGATCTCCGAGAGTAGCTAGGAATTAGCAATCAATGCCTTTAATTAGTATAATAATAATATATAATATCCCTCACTACCTTTATTAATATGCCACTAGTTTTGTTAAAGACATGACTAAACTAATTAAAGGCATTGATTGCTTAATTAAATGACCTTTTCAGATCGTCTTGTTAGCAACTTACGTAACGCATCAGAAGCCGGCTGTGGAAATTGAATATATCTCAGATAAATTATGTATAGTAGAAGAAGAAATTAACAACTACAAACCAGCGAAAATGCAACTATAATAATACTACTACTAATAATAATACAATAATAATAATAATAATAATAATAATAATAATAATAATAATAATAATAATAATAATAATAATAATAATAATAATAATAATAATAAAGAAATTAATTATAACGTGAGTAGTATATATATGCTTGGATCTAATCCACCTATGTTATTATTATAAAAGCTGTTGACCACTGATCTTTGCAGAAATAGTTAATTTCTAGTATCGTCCTCTGTGGAAATGATGTACCATTTCTTTAATGATCAACATTCATGCAAATTCTAGCATAAGAGAAAAAAGTTTTCATGCCTATTGTTTTCAATCAACCGAATGAATGAAATCAGTGACTCCTCTTACCTTCAAAAGTACCAAATGAGGTAATTAACTTTCAATAATTAAGCACAAATACATCACACTAAAATATACAGTTCAATAATTCGGAACAATTGCAAGATTATTGGAAACTTATTTCCTCTTATTCGACTCCGAAATTGGTAATCTTGGCTTGGTTTTTTTCTTTGCATAATCTTCATAGTCAGTCTCAATATCATCAACATAGTCATCGTTCTCGTTGTCATCAACATCATTCTTCACTATTTTGATCTCTTTCTTCCTCTTTTCCACCCCACCCTTAAGCCAATCCACAACTTCTAACATACTTGGCCTGTTTTCAGGATTTCCATCAGTGCATTTCATTGCAATCAAGATTGTATTTTTCAATTGATCACGATTGAACTTTCCTTTGAGCCTAGGGTCAGCAATGTGATTAAAGTCACCCTTTTGGAGATATGGAAGTGCCCATTGCACAATGTCACGTTTAACACCATTAGGGAGTTTCTCTAAAGGTTTACGAGCACTAATTATCTCGAGAAGTAATATTCCAAAGCTATAGACATCACAACTCTCAGAGACTTTTCCCCACATGGCATATTCAGGTGCTAAATACCCTAGGGTTCCTTTAACCCTTGTTGTTAGATGAGTAACCCCATCAGGTATCAACTTAGCAAATCCAAAATCTGCGACTTTTGCTTGGAAATTTGAATCTAAGAGGACATTGCTTGCCTTTATGTCTCTATGTATGATATGGGGATTTGCTTCATGGTGCAAGTAACTACAAATTAAACAAAAAAACAAAAAAAAAAACAATATGAGGCTGCAGGCCGCTCCATACATACATACGTACATACATACATATACACACATACACTATTCATCAAACTATTTCACCGGGGGAGTACTAGTTGGGAATAACTTTGTTGAAGAATAAGAGGCCTTCATTAGAAAAAGAGAGGCCGGCAAACAGAAGTATACAGAGACCAATTCCAATTCAGCATAACTTGATATTATTATCATTTGGGCAAGGATAACACGCGCAAATGGAGAAATGATTCAATTGAATGTACCTACCATAATCCCTCGGCAGATCCAATAGCAATTCTAATTCGTCGAGGCCAATCCAGAAGGCAATCAGCAGCAAGTTGGCCATGCAAATGGGTGATCAAGCTGTGATTAGGCATATAGTCATAAACTATAAGCCTTTCATCCTCGCCTGCATAAAATCCTCTTAAACCTAATAAATTCTTATGTCTCACCCTTCCAAGTATTTCCACTTCTATTGCAAATTCCATTTCTGCTTTTGCACTCATCGCCTTTAGCCTTTTAACTGCTATCTGAACAATTAAAGGGAAAAAAAATAAAGGAGAGATTTTTAATCCAAGAATAAAAAAGGGAACTAATTATTGAAACCTTAGTTTGACTACTTTAGAAAAAAGTTCCAAATAAATTAGGAAAAGGGAAAATGATAGACTTGATTGCCTCGATGCCTTTACTAGTTCGACCCCAATAAACACTTCCAAACCCTCCTTCACCAATTTTGTTATCATTATGGAAATTGTTTGTTGCGTTAACAAGCTCTTTTAATGTGTAAATATCCCATGGATAATCCCTGTTCTTCTGAGCACTGGATTCACGAGAAAGAAAGAAAATACTTGTAATTTTAACAAGGCTGAATTAAAGAAAAGTAAATCAAGCATAGGTAAGGAAGATACGAATATGTCAAGGTTGAGTAGATACCTGATCTCTGGTCTTTGTTCACCACCAAAGCAATTAAAACATCTCTTCAACATTATTTTTGGGAGAGAGAGAGAGAGAGAGAGGAGCACAAGGGAGATGGAATTGATGGAACCAGCAAGAAAATGGTGTAAATAAATGTTGAATATATCAATGCAAATTATGGAAAGAGTCCTAGAGAAGAGACAAAAGGCATTCTTGGAAGTCAAGGACTTGGTTTTAAATTAATAAAAACATGATGTTACATATTAGACAGAAATTAAAGCACTCAAATTTGTGAACTTCCGTATTTGATCTTTAAGTTCATATTTCTGTGCCTAAACTTTTTTAGGCTTTTATATATTGTGTAATAGGTCTTCTAGATGCTGCTTTTTTTTTTTCTATTAAAATATTCTATGATGCTGATCTCATTAATTATGTTAATGGAAAACGACCCCTTCAAAGAATCATCTTAAACAATTAAGCTTAGCTATGGACTCGTCCAATTCAATCGGTTTAGACTCTAGTATTTAGTTTAGTTAATGTAATGTAAATATCTGTTTACTGAAATTGGATAAGGCTATTCCCAAACTGGCAAAGGTGATGAACTTGCTTCCGCTATCGATGTTCCTTGGATTTGAACCAAAGAAATGGACATTAATACCATTTGATGGGATCACTTAATCAAATTTTAATTATGTTACCTGAATGTATTAACTATCCCGCGTTTCAAATAATTCTTTTTTCTCCTCAATATTCATTTCGTGTAAATTGTCAAGCTGCCTATTTGCTTTAAAATTGAGTATAAAAATGAAGCTTTAACTTGGAAGATGAAGATCTTTGGTAGTTTGCCTTAGAACTTCCCATTTTATTTAACACAAATATGAACAGTAAGAGTTAATGTACATTACTTTGTAATTTCATTTGGACGTACTCCCTTTGTCCAATGTATATGTAACTAGTATCATGCGGGAATTAGTCAGACTCCAAAAAATTTATATTTAACTATGATTTCTTTTCAAAATCCTCTTTAGTTAAAAAAGTATGATGTGTACAACCCTTTTAATATTTTTCTAACTATGTTAATTTTTATCTTTTTAACATTGATGAATAGTGTGAATTCACAATAATATAATACTTTGATGCCTAATATATGCTTAGAACGGAAATAGTAACACTTTTAGTCTAATCATAATTGTTTTGTTTTTAAGATATGAACAAAATGTATTAGCCCATTCTCTTCATCGTAATGGGCATTTAGTTGGAGTCTGTTATAGGCTTCAAGTGCTGAAAGGGCTTGCCCGTTTACAAGCGCTACAAGACGAGAACATATAGTCCATATATAATGTGGGCTGTACTATAGCAGGCCTACGACTAGGTCAATAGTAGCCAATAAAAAAGAAGGGAATCTTTGGCAAATACCCGGGTGGGAGAAAGTATTTAGGGGAATTACCTATGTCTATTTATAAGTAGCTTATTATAAAAATTGGTCAATTCATAAAATATTACTAATATTAACCAAATAGCTATTTATAGCCAAAAAAAGGCCAAATTTTTGTTCTCTTTTGAGTGTGTGTTATTAGAATAGATTGAGTACATCTTAATTATAAGGAGCTTGAATCCTAAATTTGGGATGATTTGGTGGAGTTTTGGGATAGTTTGAATTAAAAATTTGAAGTAGAATATGAGCATGAAAACAAAATAATATGTGTACTATTTGTGTATCACATATGTATCATATATTGTATCAAATATATATCCATGTATGTGATACATGTGACACAAAAGAATTTTTCGAACTTGATTTTAACTACAAATTTTGATAGCAAATCAGTCCAAATCACCTCCAACGTATATTGACTCATCTATATATTTTCAATGAATTTCAACCGTGCCTATGGAAAAATGACCTTTTTTGTTTAGATTTTTGGAATCTCGTATATATATATTTTTGTATTTCATCACCTTATTTACTACCTCATCCAATAAAATTTATTTTTTGTCTTGCATCTAATGTTGCTAATCACACTTAAAAATATGGAAGGAGGTCTTTGTGTGTAATTCTTGGAGAGAAAGAACCGTATTTATTTGCGTTTTCAATTTTTATATGTGTTTGACTAGTTTTGCTAAGCTTATGATTAATGGCTAGAGGTTGGTAAGTTAGGACTTATTTAAGACATTTCTTTAAGATTACCAAGTATTTATCCGCGGGGTCCATGATGTTTTTCCCCTGCCCATTTTTTTTTGTAGAAATGACACCAGGTAGCCGCTCTAAAAGGCAGCTATTTAAGAATTAGCCAGTGCGTCTTGAATTTCAGTTTTTCAGTTTAAATTTTTGGGATAAAATGTCATGAAGTTAAGGTTTTTAATTTAAAATTTCATGACAAAATAAGTGTTTACATCTATCTGTGCACTTGCCCTTATTATTTTTTGGAAAAGGGCCAAATATGGCCCTTTACTTTCAGATATTATCTATATTTAACCTTCGTTATACTATCCTGTCAAATTTACCCCTACCATCAACAAACTGTTAAAAATTACCCCTCAGTCCGTCAGGTGACCCAGAATCTCCCAAATCATTTTAATTTAGTCACTTATTCTCCTTCTTGATCCACTATTTTCAGAAATTACTATTTATGTGAATGCTAAAGGTACTAGACTATACATATTATTCATGGGCTTTTTAAATTACCAATGCCCATTTCTCTTCCTGTGATAATAAGTTTGGAATTTGTTTAAAATTTTATTTATTTTTCAACAATATACACGCCGTAAAATTTAATGGATCTATTTATTGTGTATTATATGCAGATGATCATCATGTATGTACACACACACATACACACACACACACACACATACACACACACACACACACATACACACACACACACACACATACACACACACACACACACATACACACACACACACACACATACACACACACACACACACATACACACACACACACACACATACACACACACACACACACATACACACACACACACACACATACACACACACACACACACATACACACACACACACACACATACACACACACACACACACATACACACACACACACACACATACACACACANATGTATTTGATTAAAGCAAAGTTGAATTCGATAATGTAAAGTCTCTAAGGAAATTCAATTTCTATCACTAATACTTGCAAAGTCTCCATAACTTTGGTGCATCGAATTCATTAAAGTTGGAATGTTGTAAATACTTTTGAAATTTAGACAAGCTACCAAATTTAGATTCTTCAATTTACTATACTTTGTTTACTAACCGTTGTATTATTTTAATATTTCTTTCTCTTATTTTTTTCTTTAAAAAACGTATAAATGCCAATTATTTCAAAAATAGTGGATCAAAAGAAGAAGAAGAAGTGACTTAATTAAAATAATTTGGGAGATTCTAGGTCACCTGACGGATTAAGGGGTAATTTTTAAAAGTTTGCTGATGGTAAGGGTAAATTTGGGCGGATAGTATAACGGATGGTAAATGTAGATAATATCCGAAAGTAGAGGGGTATATTTGGCCATTTCCATTATTTTTAATACCCTGTCAATGGCAACCAAATAAAGTCAAACTAAGCAACTAAACCAAGCTAAGCCAAGCCAAATCAAGTCAAGTCAAGCCAAGCTAATTCAAGCCAATTCAAGCCAAGCCAAAATCAAGTTAGGCTAAGCCAAATGGGTAAAAAAAATATTGGGATGGGTGGGTAGGTTGGGTAATTAGTTTTAATTGCGTATATATATATTGTAACTAGTTTGCAAATGGGTAGAGAAGGCTAATTATTTTAAGCTCAATGGGTATTTTGCATAACTTGCTCAAAAAAACAAGGGAATCTTACGGAAATTTCTCAAATAAGTCCGAACTTAACAATTTATTGCCATTAATCATAGACTTCCCAAATTAGCCAAGCACATACAAAAATAGAAAACCCAACTAAATAAGAATTCTTTCTCTCCCAAAATCATATATATATATATATGCAAAAATAGACATTTCCCCCCTTTTTTCAATGGGTGAAATTCATTAAAAACATATAGATGAGTCAATATACACAATTTAAGGAAGATTGAAGGTGATTTGGTATCAAAATTCGTAGTTAAAGTCGAGTTTTAAAATTTTTTCTGCGACACATGTATCTCACACACAGGTATACATGTAATACACATTTGATACAAATAGGATACATGTGTGATATACAAATGATACACAGTGTGATACACATATCATCTTTTTCCATGTTCATCTTTTATTTTGATTTTTCAATTCAAACAACCTCAAAACTCTACTAAATCATCCCAAAACTGATATTTAAATTCCTTAAAATGTATCTAATCTATTCAAACAACACCCACACAAGAGAAAGTAAAAAATTGATTTTTGTTTGGGTATAAATACCTAATTGGCAAATATTGGTATTATTTTATGAACTAGAAAACCCATCCGTGCTTCGCGCGATCGATAATAAGACTGCTAAACTCCGACTCTATTACATACGAATTTTCTCATATCATATTATTACATCCCAGTAAAATGCAGACATATGTTATATTTTTCTCGAAGTATTTTAGCAGATTAGTTGTTTCATTTAAGATAATATAGTTGATGATGGTTATATTTTTCCATTTACCTGAAATTAAATGATATACTAATGTCATAGTTTACAATAAATAAATATTCATTTTAGAACATAAAAGCCTTATACAATAATAATAACAACGGAGTAATTACTCTTTCTTTATATTCTATTATTGATAACGGAGTAATTTGGGTTAATTAAATGAGTAGTTAATTGTATTAAAATGACACAAAAGTATGAAAAAGAATGTACATAAAGGTCTAAGAGAGTGTTTGTTCACCTTTCCTAAGACCATTTCTATGACTCTTGGATGATGATGACGCCTATAGAGAGTTAAATATATTAGTACTACCTTTCAAGTTTGACTGGCTATCTCTAGCACTTTTGGGACTTCTTCCATTTCGTCAATCTACATTTATACTCAAAATTTTAAAAATTTCAGCCTCTAAAGATGACACAAAATAATACTCTAGAATTTTGAGTTTTAAAAATCAATCCCTTGATAACATATTGACAGAATTTGTGATCTTAAAACTCTCTTGCTCAATAAAGGTGGATTTACATTAAAAAAGAAAGACTTTTATCTGATTTAAGAGATGCATGATTAAACTGAGAGCGAGAACATAAAGTATATATATAGTATCCTTTCAAATAGTGGAGTTGCTGCCCTAATCCTTAGC